AATTGCCACTGAAGTGAGATCACCTGATGGAGATTATACAAAGGGGTCTTTGAGCTGCCTTTAATGATTAAAGTAAGAAAAAAACACTGCATGGGAGGAAGTGTTTGCTAAATCTGTGGGCGTGAGATAAAGTTGCAAGGAAAAAACTGCACGTCTTTGAAGAAACGTGCAGCCATTTTTATAGTGAACGTTAAACAAACAAAAAATACCAGATTTTTGTGATACTGACTATCTCTCGTATTTGTTGAGAGGAGAAACCAAAATGGGTTTAAGATTTTTTTCCCGTTTTTCCTTAATTGAACTTGTTACGTCGATAACTCGAAATGCTGTAAGTAGAACTGACTACCTGTTACAACAGGTGTGTTCAGCTTGACTACAAAGGTGAATAAATTGCCATCAATAATCTGAAATGTAACTTGTACAATTCTTTAATCATTTTTGCTGTATTCCCAACTAGAAATATAGGCAGTCCTCAATGTCCAACAGTGTGTTTAGTGACTGTTTGAAGCTACAATGGCATTGAGAAAAGTGACTTATGACGGTTATTCACACATTGCAGCATTCCCAGGGTCACGTGATCAAAATTCGGAGGCTTGGCAAATGACTCATACTTATGACAATCATGTTACTAACTTAACTTGTGCAATGATTCACTTAAGAACTGTGGCAAGACAGGTTGTAAAATGGGGCAAAACTCACTAAGCAACAGAAACGTTGTTATGACTCCATTGTGGCCTTAATTCGAGGATTCCCTGTAATCCTAACAGACAATTATTTTTTAATTTAAGCCTCAAAAGTTCACATCCCAGCTCAGAGGTACTGACTCTGATGCCTGGGATACCAGATATTTAAAGACTGCATGGAGACCCTGTTAGTTTCAAACAGTCAGATCAGAAAACTCAGGAATTCAATGCAACGGCTGCGGCAAAGATGATGGAAAGATGAAAATTGCTTAGAGGAAAAAAATAATATTTTAAGCTCTCATGGAAAAAGGAAGGAAATATTAGACCTACCTTTTTAAGCAGGGTAAACCAGCCGCATGCGAAGATGGTTACAGAGAAGGGTGGCTTTGTCTGAATTAGTGTAAGCTGGGGAATTCTGGGAGTTGAAGTCCGCTCACCTTCAAGGTGTCAAGGTTGAGTCTGAACCCTAAAAGAGATGAAATGAAACCTCACCAATGTGGCAAGAAACATACTAGTTAAAACTAATATATTGGCCAAGCTTTCTTTAGCTGAACATCTTCTAGACTAGTAGCTTGTAACTCCCAGAATCCTCCAGCTACCGTTTGGTCTTTGCTAAGCACTCTGGGAATTATAGGATATTTACCCAATGGATGGCATTCACCTCCCAGAATTCCTCAGCCATCATTTGGGCATTACTGAGGCTTCGGGGAGTTGAAGTCCACTTAGATTGTGCTTCAGCAGAGAAAAAAAAATTAGTAGAGTAGAGTAGAGTAGAGCAGAGCAGAGCAGAGCAGAACAGAACAGAACAGAACAGAACAGAATAGAATTTTTTATTTGCCAAGCGTGATTGGATACAACAAGAATTTGTCTCCGGTGCATAAGCTCTCAGTGTACACATATACAACAACAAAGGGATAGGTCATAGATCATAAAGCACAGTTACAATCATTAATCATAAGATACAAACAACAAGTGATAAATCATAGGATACCAACAGGAGAAGACAGCAGGAAGGATGAGAAGGATAATACAGCCTACTACATGGGTAAATGTCAAGACAGTGCTGTGCTGTGGGAAATAAGGGTTCAGCAAAGCGATGGCATGGGGACAAAAACTATCTTTGTGTCTAGTTGTTTTGGCGTACAATGCCCTACAGCGGTGTCCCGAGGGGAGCAGTTGAGACCCCAGGATGTGAGGGGTCTGTAGATATTTCCTCAGCCCTCTTTCTGATTGGTGCAGTATACAGATCCTCAATGGAAGGCAGGCTGGTTGCAGTTGTTTTTTCGGCACTCCTAACTATCCACTGAAGTTTGCACCTGTCCTGGTTGGTTGCCGTGCCAAACCAGACAGTTTATTGAGGTGCGCATGACAGACTCCATAATTCCTCTGTAGAATTGTATCCTTGGGCAACCTGAGTTTTCTACGCTGGCCAAGGAAGAACCTTCTTTGTTGTGCCTTTTTAATGATGGTTCTAATTTGAGGTGTCCCCTTCAGGTCCTGGGAGATCATAGAACACAGAAATCTGACGGTCCCTACAATATCTCCTTTTCGGTTGATCTTTGATGGTTCAATAGAAACAAACCGTTTTGAATTCTGTTAGTGGTTTAATGAGGTTGAGGGCAGTTAACCTAGTCTGTTGGGCAAAGCCATTGTATTGTGGCTTAGCTGGTTAACCCTAGATTAACAAGCCATGGTTTCTTGCAATGTGGGGGCCAGATCAAATCCTCTTCTGCCATGTAAATATAGCTATTTTAACCCTTTTTCCCGAGAAGGAAGAACACGCTTTCCTTTTCTCCTACAAAGAAGCTCATCGTTGAGAACTGCTCTCTGTGTGGTAATAATCACTTGATCCTCTTCCAGATGTTGGTAAACTAACCCATCTCCCAGTCAGCAGATATTTAGACTGGATCTGGCATTCTTGCTCACCTGTTGCTTGCTAAGGATCTGGGCGAGGCAGATGTAGCTCTTTGATGGAGTTACAAATATTGCCGCAGGATGGAAGCCATGGCTAATAAACAATGATGAAGAAGACGACTCTTGTCTCTTTGCATGTACACCCAGAGTTTCTGCACAATTGGGTGTCTAATCAGACTTGGCTACATCAAGTATTCAGAAAAAAAATCCAGCTCAGGTTGTCCATAATCGCCGTGAAGACATGGAGCCAACGTTAATGGAGGCAGACACGATTTCCCCAAAGTAAACCACTGGCTCTTTTTGTGATGCCACATTCAAAAACAACTCTATGTCTCTAATGCGGCGAATGGCCCGATGTGGTCATGGGTGGCCGTTGATGGGGGAGACGAAGAGCAGATGAAAGCCCATTACTAGATTTGGTATCATTTCAAACCCTTAAGTGTTCTTCCTCGACACGAGTCTGCTGACAAAAAAAAAAAAGAGCAGCTTCACATTCCTAATGGCTGGATTGGTCTTGGAGGCCTCCGTGCCGGGCGGCCCCACCCAGCAGATATTTGAAAAAAAGGGAGGGGGGGCATGAAAATGAAGGTTGCATAAGAGCCGGGTTCCATAATTCATATCAAGGATATTCCACCAGGGACCCACTCATCGGTACTTACAGATAACATTTAAGAAAATGCATCTCCTTGGCTTTTTCCGAGCACTTACGGTTCAGGGTGGAAGGGCACCAATGCATCGGCTTCAATTAAGAGACACCTTGGAGTTCATTAAGCAACAGGCCAAATGTTCTTTTGGCACAGAGCTTGGGAAATGAATTAGGAGAAGGCCTCTCATCTCCATCAGACATTCATCTGGAGCTTCACCATCTCCGTGTCCCTCCCTCCCTCTCTCTGCCCAAATGGCGTTTTCCCCTTCCCGTTCCTGCCTCGATTCTCTGGAGGTGTCTTTTAAAAGATGCCATCTTCCCTCTGTCCCCTCACTGGGTCTTCCTTTCTCTCCTTCCGGCTTTCAACAACAACAGCCCCCTCCCCACCCTAAGCACTGCCACTTTTGCAGATGGGGTCGAGAAAAAAAGAATAGAAATGGTAAGAGCAGATGCCAGAGGAGGTAAATTGAAGGACGGCCGATCTCCCAGGTTTTGCAAAATAGAAAGGAAGGTCCAGGATGAGGCTGGCAAAGCTGGTGAAATTGGCAAGGCTAAGAATGAGGAAAGAGAGAGAAGCGAAGGAAGGAGAGACTTTGATTTTGGGAATCTTTAAGCTCGGAGGGGGAAAATATTAATAGAAGACGGGTTATGGGTGATGGAAAGATTTCTGAAAGTAACCATGTTTCAGGCAGGTGTGCGAGCGTGGAAGATTGGATGGAAAGGGGCCCTTTGAACTGGACGCCATCAAACTGTAGGCAGCGAAACTGGATGGATCCCTCTCTGAGGTTCTGCAGAAAACCAAAAATGTTTTCCAAGCCTCTCCAAAGCTGACTCTCCCTTTTCATCATGAGAAGGACACCGCTCCCCAAAAGAACTTCCTAGCATTGAGCAAAAGGATGAAAAAGATCGAGAAGACTACATCCTGGAGAGAAGACGATGCAATCACATCAAACAGAGGAGACATTTGCACAAAAGCTAGTCCACCTTGCTTGGGCAGACTGAGCAACGTGGAGCTAGATCTCTGAAGCTAATTTCCTTTTTTTTTAGGATGCTGGACGATAAAGGTATCTTACTGATGACACCCACAAAATTTTGGAACTTTTGAGTGGTGGCTTCTGAATTCTGACTGGGGGACAATCCAAGGATTGTAAGGAATGTCGTCTTTATTCAATGGAGATAGCCACACATTCACAAGAGGCACTTAGCTACCTCTGAGAAAAGGGATTGTGTTGTAGGACAGAGGCCCTCAAGAGAGCCAGTTGGGTGTAGTGGCTAAGGTGCTGGCCCAGAAAGCAGAAGGCTGGGAGTTCCAGTTCTGCCATAGACGTGGAAGCCAGCTGGGTGACTTTAGGCTAATCACTAGGAGATGGCTGAGTTCTAGTACTGCTGTAGACATGAAATCCAGCTGGGTGACTTTGGGAGAATCACCCGGAGACGGTGAATTCTAATACTGCCGTAGACATGAAATCCAGCTGGGTGACTTTGGGAGAATCACCCGGAGACGGTGAACTCTAGTACTGCCGTAGACATGAAATCCAGCTGGGTGACTTTGGGAGAATCACCCGGAGACGGTGAATTCTAGTACTGAAAAAAAGAGAAGGATGAGAAGGAGACTCGGCTATCGGGAGCTACAGGGTTCAAAGAGACACCCCAAACTGCCTCCAGGGCAACATTCAGACAGAAAACAAAGAGGGGGAACCGAGATCCATTTTAAATGTGATTTTTGTGTAAGAGGACACCGACACAGCAGCCCGAAATGTAATCGTGTGGAATTTTTTTTATTATAGAGAGAGTGTAAAATGCAACTGTCAGTCAAATAAAAAGAACATTTTCGTTTTAAAACATCATGCTGAACATTATCCAATTTTTTTTTCTGTATACAGTTAGACATTTCAAGCATTATAAAGAAATAGGAGGGAGGGCAAGGAAGATCCTAAAACAGCAACTTCGATACAATTCAAAACGGAATGTCCCATAGATCAATTAAAAATGTCAAGAAAAAAATAGCTTTACTTCCGTTTTTTTTTTCTCTTTAAAAATACACTGTTATCTGTACAAGAAAACACTACAATAAACACTGGAAACCATATTATCCCTTTTATTAAATCAAAAAATTATTCAGAACATACCTATGGTTAATACTAGATTTCATTTTTATTTCCTCTAGGTAAAATTTGACAAATATTAAGGTAAGAAAATACTTAAAAACAAAGAAAAAAAAAATAAAAAGCCAAAAGCAAACACACACCCTGGAATTAAAAAATAGTTACTACTATTTTATAGGATTTAATGTTCCACAGTGCTTGTTAAAGATACTAATAGCAGTTTCATCTTAATATTAAAAATAACAGTATTTATTTCTGAAATAGACAAAAAAGTATTTTGCTCTTTTTTTTGTTTGTTTTTTTTAAAGATGCTTGGAGGTCTTAGATTTACAAATGCAACTAACCAGGGAAACATAGAACGGAAAACAGTATCACTAAAAAATTAACACATTGCTTTTATATTAACCCTTTAGATCTCTAGAAATTATACAGCCCCTATAAAATGCCCCCCGCGATAAACGAGCTCGACAGCAAACAGCAACTGTCTCAATAAAGAATTCACATAATTAATTACAATACATAGCATAATTCAGTTTCTTCTTTTTTAAAAAATGCAATAAAATCAAAAAAGACAGCCAAGGTACAAGAAAAATTAGAAGTAAAATATTTAATGAATTTACATATTTAAGAATATTTAAATACTGTTTTTTTTAAAAAATTCATTTTCTTTTCTTTTTAGAATTCGTTACATACCACCTAAGACTTCCAAGCGTGTTTTTTTTTCTGTTTCAACAGAAAAAGATTTTAAAATCAAAGTACAAGGAGAAGAGATGGGGAAAAAAAGAAAAAAACCCAACAAAACTAAACACACGCGCGCACACACAAAAACCCATTTGTTGAAACGTCACAGCTTTGGGGAAAGTTGTGATGCCAGCTGTTCGTTGGCTTCCCTCCAAATCATGTTCCCGGAGTTTCACTTTGTTTTTTTTTTTCCTTACAATTTTTGAAATGAATCCTCCCCGAAAAGCAAAAAACAAAACAAAAAGCAGAAATTAAGGAAATGGAAGAAAATGATGTCGCATGTCCATAAAGTTTAGTACACATTGCTAATTGTTCCTGATTCTTAGAAAAAGTTCAGTATAGATTATCCTAACCACTAGTGTTTCACGAAAGAAAGAAAGAAAGAAAGAAAGAAAGAAAGAAAGAAAGAAAGAAAGAAAGAAAGAAAGAAAGAGTCTTCAAACGGTTGCAAATCTAGAAACCTCTGTTACAAAAAAGGTTTGTTTCCACAATGATTCCAAGGAAAAGGAAAAAAAGGAAGAAGAATCAAACAGTTGTTCTACTGCTCCTGAAAAAACAAAGAACAAAAAATAAAAGTGAGGGGAAACAGAATTAAAAATGTTCCATCCTAATTTGACCCTGCAGATAGGAAAGACAACCAGACCCATCATCCTCACCCACGCAAACTTCTCACCTACAACTGAAGGAGTCCCCATGTCACCAATGCTTTGGGCAAAAGTTGGCTAAACTGTATTTGCAATTTCTTTTTCTTAAAAAAACCCTCTGTGTTTTACAATGTTTCTTGCCACAGATGCTAAGTTAGGAACGTGGTTGTCAAGTGTAATCGGGCATCCGAATTTTGATCACGTGACCACAGAGATGCTGCAATGGTCCTAAGTGTGAAAACTCATCGTAAGTCACTTTTTAAAACTGTTTTTCACACATACGACCGTTGCAGCTAGCAGCTACCTGTGGGTCACCTGATCAAAATCCGTCTGCTTGGCAACTGGCTCGTCTTTAGGATGGTCGCGATGTCCCGGGGTCACATGATCCCCTTTGGCGATCTTCTGATGAGCAAACTCAAAGGGGAAGAAGCCAGATACATTTAACAACCGTGTTGCTAACTTAACCGCGGTGATTCACTTAACAACTGTGGCAAACCTCACTTGGCAACAGAAATTCTGGCCGTAAGCCGAGGACTCTTTGTTAGAGGATTCTTGACTTTATTTCTTGGTTTCTGCGGTCGGCTGGCAAGAGGTCAAAGCCCGGCTGCCTTGAGGCCATCCAGTCTCCTACAAACCGGCTTATTCTGCCTGCAAGAATCTCGGCTGAGCGTAACCCGTTGACTTTATTTGCAATTTCTTTGTTTAAAAAAAAAAAGTGTAAATTTATTAGCCGCCCACCTTACTACGAGGCAACTTCCATTAAATTAAGTCTCTTTTTGTCTTTCGTCTTGTCTGTGAATGGCCAGCGATTAACAGCTTTCCTAGGCTGCACTTTTCATTCGCCGGGCGCCCAGGGATTCGATTAGCTGCCCGATGGGCTTAAAGACGGGAACTCCGTGCGAGAGAAACACCCACCTGGCTGTGAGCTTGCCCTAACGTCTGCCCATAGTAGGCCGCCTGCTGTCGGTAATACTCTGCCCACGCCATCGTGTAATCTGGCTGGTTGCTGGCTTGGGAAACAGCTGTGGCAGCGTGACCTGGAAGGGAGGGAGGAAGGAAGAGAGGAGAGGTAAAGGGGATGCCGAAGAGGAAGCTGGGAAGCAGCTAGTGCCCCCCCTCCCCTCCCCAAGGGGATTCCTGCTTCGGGCCCAGCATTCTTTCGCCAGCAACGCTCTGGATGCTAAGCTCGACCAATCTAAGGGTGGGCACTGCCAGTCTTACTCGGGAAACAGGAAGAGCAGATGAACTAATTCTACTTTGCTGTACAGCTCCCTTAACAAAATCTTGCAAGTCTGAAGGTGCAAATCGCCCACCGTCTCTTTTGCAGCCTGAGCCGTTCCTTTCTGAGTTTCTTTTTCGGCCCGTTATGCAGCTCTGGGACGTCCCACCCCTTATCTGACTGTTCTCTAAAGCTACATTCACAGACTCTTGCCAGTGTGAAGGCACAAAACTCCCACTGCCTCCTTTACAGCCTGAGAAACTAGGGAGGATCCCTTCTGAAGGTTTGGCCCTGCCTGTTGTGCAGTTCTGGGCGATGCTGTCTCTTCTCAGGCAGAACTCTGGGGATGCTGCAACGCCCTCAAGTCCCTTTTTTCAGTGCCGTGTTAACACTGAACAGTCACTAACCACCAAATCGAGGTTTACCTGTATTTTATTCTGGCTGCCACAACTTAAGTCCAAGTTTTTTGCACACATAAAGGAACCGTGTTTGGAGGTTCTTCAGCCTGATCCCTGCCTGTCGGTCGAGGGTCTCCCAGATTGCCCGTCTACTTACTCTGCTTCTTGTAATAGTCTTCCCATGCCTTGCTGTAATCCGGTTGGCTGTTCTGCTGCTGGCTTTGCTGACCTAGACGAAGAGAAGCAAAGAACGAAGAAGAAGAAGTTACAGTGGGGCTGGACCGAGGACAGGATCCACTTCCTGGGCCTGAACTCCTTCGAGATATTTATGGATCAACTTTTCAGAAGAAGATCTGGGATCCCATGCCTCCAACTACCGGAGGGAGAGGATATGTCACCCAAAGGCAGAATGTGGCTTTGCCAGAGCTGACTGTTCCCTGTTTTATCTGGGAACATACGTCAGAGTGCAGAGAAGAGCAACAAAGATGATCAGGGGACGGAGGCTAAAACATGTGAAGAAGGGTTGCAGGGATCGGACATAGCTAGTTGGATGAAAAGAAGGACTAGGGGAGACACGATAGCCGTCTTCCAATATTTGAGGGTTAGGGTGAGGGTTAGGCTACATTAACAGAATCTTGCTTGGGGGCAAAGCTGTCAATACATCCCCGTGCAAGCAAAACGCTGCTTTGTCTCCAGTGAGAGATGTTGACTTGCAGGTCTCCAGACTGCCCCAAGTACCCACCACACACACACACACACACACACACACACACAATCTAGCATAGGGAGATACTTACTTGGAACCTGCTGCCCTGGCTGCTGCCATGTTTGGTAAGTGCTGCCCCAGCCCTGGGTCATGAACGCCTGGGGACCGCTGTGGATGACAACCCACCGTTACTGAAGCAGAGTCCTTCCATTCGTACCGACACGGCTATAGTATATAAAATGAGAGCAAACCCCACTCCGCTCTAGCACTGATGGTGTTACCTAGTTGGGTAATGAAACGTCTGCAAGAAAACCACCCAGCTCAGAGAGCACCCAGGACTGTGGAGGATTGTAATTGCAACTCTGACTTGAATCTTCCTCTCTGTGAATCAACCACTACCTAACAACGCAGAAGCTGAATTCTCGGATGACAAGGCCTGTCTTTTTTGTCTCCTGGATGCTGTGACCTCTGTCCCCCGTTGCCCCCCCCTCAAAAAAAACAAAAACACAAAACCTTTGAGCACTGCCCTCTGCTGATTCTGACCTTGAGAAGCAAAGGCCCAGGTTTCAAAAGCAGAGAATGGCCTTTGTCTGCATCCTTAAAGCATCCAGAAGGATGCCACATTACAGACCTGTACTTGGATTGCAAGCACCAGTCAGGCAGGGAGAAACAAATAGAAAAAAACAAAGAGAAAAAAAAAATCTTACTTTTGATGAGTTGTCGCAGGTGGCTGGCTGAAAGGAGCCTGGCTAAATCCTCCGGGTCCACCTAGGCTGGTGCCCTGGAAAAGACATCATTAGGGGCCCACTTAGACCAAAAGCTCCATGGCTGAATGACAAGGTGACCCTGAAAGCATTCAGGGGCTGCGGGCGACTCGGGGATACCCAGGGTGAAAGGGAGAGACGTCATCTATGGGCCCAGGGTCTCCTGCAGTCAGGACTGCTGAAAATTCAGAGTCCTTTCCCACCACTGGGAAAGACACGAAAATGGTAGCACCAGCCTTCAAATGGACACCAACTGGGTATTTCTTGGTCTTCTTTAGCTTCCAATTTAGTACCATTGTTTAGTGGTGAAGGTGCTAGGTTAGAAGCAGGTGACTGAGTTCTAGTATCGCCTGAAGCATGAAAGCCGGCTGACTTTGGGCCAATCACCAGGAGACGGTGAGTTCTAGTCCCGCCTTAGGCATGAAAGCTAACTGGGTGACTTTGGACCAGTCACCAGGAGACGGTGAGACGATGAAACGAAAGAGGACTTACTCCAACTTTCTCATCGATCAAGTGTCTGGCCAGCTCGATCTGCTGGGGCACCCCCCGGATGGTGAATATCCGAATGTTCGGATCCGTGTTGGGAGGCGGATTTCGCTGGAGTTCCACATGCGCCCCGGATTGCTGGTTTATGCTCTTGATGTTCTCACCCCCTGCAGCAGGATAAAGGTGAGGGAGACGTTGGGCGAGAACGTGCGCCTGGAAAGCTGTATGGCCCAAGGCCTTCCCCCAAATCCACTGCAGATGTGTATATTTCCAAGGTACACAATCTACCCAGGGTGAGGGCATTCAGCACCCTCTTCTGCTAGACATGATCCTGGGCTACTTGGGGTCAGGAGGTGGGGGCCCTTCTTTCCCAGAGAGCAAAGAGACAGCTAAGCTTGGAGCTTTGGGTATGCAGGGAAAGGGTGAAGGAGGACCCAGCGACTCACAAGTATTTAGAATCACAAGGCTGGAAGGGATCTTGGAGGTCTTCTAGTCCAACCTGCTGCCCAAGGAAGGAATTCTTATACCGTCCCAGACAAAGTTCTGTCCAATTTTTTCCTGAAGACCTCCAGTGATGGGGCTTCCTCAACCTCCTCCTTCTTCTCCCCTTCTCCTCCTCCTCCACCCCACAAACCCCACTCCCTCCTAACAGTTGGGTAGTTGGGTAGTGAAATATCTGTGAGGATAACAACAGAGAGCGCCAAGGACCCCACAGTCCTCCTCCTCCTTCTCCTCCTCCCTCCACTCCACTCCTAGTACTGATGATGTTGCCTAGTTGGGTAGTAACACATCAGCAAGAAAACATCCAAGCCCAGAGAGCACCAAGGACCCCACACATCAGCCCTGAGCTACCAATATTCTCTTCCAGAGTTTAGCATCTTGTTCAAAGCCCCTAAAATAGATTAATTCACAAAGCTAAACTCTTGGCCACATGGCACTCAAATATAAAACATCCCCCTTGCAAGAACAGAGATTAAGGACCGTATCCCAATAGGTGCAACGTACTTGATTTTATTTATCCAACTTATAGGCCACCCATCTCGCCTGGAAGCAAGACGCAACGAAACAAGGTCACACTTCAACCATGAGACCTCCTGCAAAATTGCCCTATCCCAGTAACTCCAGGCCAGCATTTGATTTGCAGGTCAACAAATGCCGCCACGCTGCCTTATAAGAGTTTGGTCCCCGATTCCCCAAAGGGCTCCCCAAAACTAGCAAGGGCTGGTGGAAAGCCTCTGCCTGCCATCTCTGGGAGAGAAAGCACCCAACAAGGAAGGGCTTGTAGAAGGGTGGAGCACAACTCATGAAAATTTAGCTCCCAAAGGGAAGGAGACCTGGAAAGATATACCCAGAGGAGGGCTTCGGTCTCGCTTTCTTAATGAAATTTGCTTAACAAAGGATTCCTCCACCGGCTAACAATGGCTCCATTCTTTGGCTGGAAACTTCACACAAGGCGGGAGGATGGCCTTGCTCCAAAGGAGGCGGGCAGATGTGATACGCATGACCCTCTCTCTGCCCCGGGTGAGCGGCCAGGAACCAAAGGCAAAGGGGAGATGGACCAATTAGTTCAGCAGCTGAGAACATTTGCTCTAGGCAGGCAAACAAGCCCCTTTGCAACAGGTTGGGATCGGCCGTTTTGAAGGCTTCCCGCCTTCCTGCTCTTGGTTGCAGAAACCAGCAAGCTCTACCTCCTTGCCAGTTTCGAAGCCAGCAATCGGGGTTTGATTTTCAGAGTCTTGGGAAGGGTGGTGAAGGCACCACCAGTTCTACTCCCACCTTAGGGATGAAAGGTGGCTGGGTGACTTTGGGCCCAAAATTTCTGTTCCTGTTAGGTGAATTTTGCCCCATTTTACGACTTTACTCGCCACAGTGGTTAAGTAACATGGTTCTTAAGTGAATATGCCTTCCCCATAGACTTTGCTTGCTTGTCAGAAGGTCGCAAAAAGTGATCACATGACCCGGGACACTGCAACCGTCATAAATACGAGTCAGTTGCCAAGCATTTAAGTTTTGACCACGCGACGTTAGATGTTAAAATGGTCAATAGAATTCTTTATCGGCCAAGTGTGCCTGGAGGGCGATAAGTCACCTTTTTCAGTGCCGTTGTAATTCTGAACGGACATTAAATGAACATTACCTTCTCACCCGTCCTTTGTGTCCTGATCAGGGCACACTTGAGGACTTTGTGGCATAGCGGCAGAATTCAAGGAACGTTGCTAATTTCTGGGCAAGATCCATTTAACTTGCTCATGTTTTGATCTTGTATTTTACATCTAGAATTTTACGTCGTACAGCAGGCCTTATTTTAATGGTGGGACGAACAAACTTTGGTCACGGGAGAGCAGATTTGGCCACGGGAGTTTTGGGACAGATTCAAAGTTTAAATGCGCCAGTCGACTCACGTCCCTGGGCGCCAGGACGGGGGAAATATCAATTCCAGCCTCTCCGTGCAGATTCTGCTCAATCCCTTCGCCTAAGATTGGAGGGGCGAAGAAAGAGAGCAAGGCAAGATGGAGCATTCGGTTCCAGAAAGCGCTCGCCCCCTTTTCACAAAGGCAGTCACCCGCTTAACACATGGTGCTTGTCTGCAGACAGCTATTCAGGACGGGGCTGCTTTTCTTCAACCTGACCGGGAAACAGAGGGGGGCCCACAGCTGGACACAGAATCGTAAAGCAATTAATCAAACAAGGCTAAAAGCCAACGGTGACAAGGAGGTGGCTGCGGAGATGGTGGGGTTTATCATGGAAATCCAACTCTGGGCTTTTGAGGAGGCTACGAGACTGTCCCGACTGGGCCCTTGACCGGCCGTTCTGAAGCCTCCCCTCCCTCCCCCCACGACCCTGCCCCACGAGAAAGTGTCTGTGGAGGACAACTCCAAGATACTTTGCTAAGTTGTTTTCCAGGGGATTTGCTCCCTCCTTTGGAGAATTGCGATTCATTTAACGACGGTGGTAAGAAAGAAGCTCAGGAAAGTTATAGAACCATGAAAGGAAGGATGCAAAAGGAGGGACGGAATGAAATGCGAATGGCAAAAACTAAAATATTTTTTTTCACATATTTTAAATAATTATATAGAATTGTTTAATCGACCCGTGGCGAGTTGTCCCGTTCCCACGGCCATGTCCTGCAAACAGCATCCCACAACGTGGCTTGCATCACCTTCCACTTTAAGACAGAGGGCAAGTGTGGAAGGCTGCAGCAAAGATGCCCAGATACACTACATGGAGACGCGAAAAACGGGCAGCTGGACCCGGATGCTGCGTTGAATCGCTCAAGGTGGCACTGGCCGATACGAAAAGTGGGCCCTGCACTGTGGGAGAAATGCCAGGGTGAGGAGGACAGCAATAGCGCTTAGACTTATATACCGCTTCACAATGCTTTGCAGCCCTCTCTAAGCGGTTACAGAGTCTGCCTGTTGCCCCCAGCAATCTGGGTCCTCATTTTACCGACCTCGGAAGGATGGAAGGCTGAGTCAACCTTGAGCCGGTCAGGATCGAACTGCTGGCAGCGGGCAGAGTTTGCATGCAGTGCTGCATTCCAACCACTGCGCCAAGCAGCTCTTGGTGATGATGGTTAAAGCCGCAAGGACTGATTTTTCTTCGTGCACATTTACCAAGTTGCTGACATTCCCCCGCCACTCACCTTTGCCGATCACCAGGCCACATTTATCAGCTGGCACCGTGTAAGTGATTTCCTGCATGCCACCGGGCGTGCCCACGCTCCAGTCTCCCCGTCCGCGCCCTCTGCCCCGGGGGACCGCGAGGCTCCCAAAACCGTCGCGCTCCTGGAAGTGAAGAAGACTACCTCTGACCACGTGGGAAACGCCTGCGTGCTGGAACAATTTCATCCCCTTGCTACCACGCCTGCAATCCTGTGCTCTAACTGCAGCGCCACCTCTCTCCCCCCCCCCCCCATCAGAAGAGCAGTTCAGCCCCATTCAGAAGCACTTGAAGGAAATTGTTTAGTCCTAAGCTTGCTGGTGCTCGGCCTGACTTACCTGTGCTGTGAGGATGAGCTCGGTGATGATGTGACCCGCGTGTTGGCACCGGTCAGGCAGGCCCATGACCTGTGCAACTCTTTCTGGACTGATGCCATCATCTGTGGAACAAAGAGAGAGAAAAGCCCAGTGAAACAACCACAGAAGGAAGGGAAAAAAAGAGGCAGAATCTTGGTGACGTGAAGAGCTGCAGACTCCGACTCCCAGCCACCACAGTGAGTTCTCAGCTTACGACCACAACTGAGCCTCAACACTTCCACTGCTAACCACTGCTAAGGGGAGTTCTGCCCCATTTTACAACCTTTGTTGTTAAGTGAATCACCTTAGTTCTTAAGTTAGTGACGCAGTTGTTAAGTGAATAGATATGAGTTGGTTAACAAGCGTCCGAATTTTGATCATGTGACCACGGGATTGCTGCCCTGGTTGTAAGTGTGAAAAACCATGATAAGTCATTTCTTTTCAGTGCGGCTGTAACTGTGAACTGCTCTAATGAGAGGACTGCCTGAACATCGGATGGATGTGACTTTTAGCGGCATCCACCTGCTGTCCCTCGCCATGTTCTTGTAAAAATGTATAAATTAGGGATGTGCAAAATGTCCCTTATTTCGATGCTGTCTGGCTTGCAGCCTTTTGCCTTTGAAATAAGCTTGTGCAACATTAATAAAAAACCCACTTCGGTTAAATTGCCAGCTTTCTAAATTTATTTTAAGCAGGCTGCCATGGTTACGCGACTGGGAATGAGAAATCCAGGCTGATCCACTGAAGAGAGAGAGGGGGAGGGGGAGGGAGGGAGGGAAAGGGGGTGTGTGCTCAACAACTGCCACCAAAAAGTGATAAAAATTGGGTGCCGTTTCGTGACAGCTCCCTTTATGGCCGTCATGACTTACGACCGAAATTGTGGACTCAATTAAGGTTGTAAGTCGAGGATGACCGTTAGGCTAAAAATAAAATAAAAATAAAAATGCAAACCTAAAATACTGAACCATGATTAAACCATATCATACAGAAAGAGTCTAGACCAGGGGTGGGGAGCTATGGCCCCTTCATGACTCGTGGACTTCAACTCCCAGAATTCCTCAGCCAGCATGGACTTGTGGGAGTTGAAGTTCACAAATCACGAAAGGGCCGTGGTTCCCTCACTCCTGATCTAAAGCAGCGGTCCCCAACTTTTTGGGCACCAGGGACCAGTTCCACGGAAAACAATTTTTCCAGGGATATGGAGGGGAGGGAAACGTGGTTTCATACACTAATTAGATCCCACGCCAAGTACAGATGAAGCTTCGTTTGCTTATGTGGCTACCGGGGACCTCTGGTAGCCACATAAGCAAGAAACCTGGCTCAAACCATTGAAAAAACAAACCTGGTTTAAACTGAATCCTAACCCCCGCGTCGTTCTGAATCTTCTTGATCATTTCGCCGTTTCTTCCTATTACGATCCCCACGGCAAATCTGGGCACGGAGACCTGCGGAAAGGAAGGGTGTTACGATGAGGAGGGGGCTTTAGACATGAACCCCCCCTCCAACTGGACCGGGTTCAGGTATCAAGGCTGGAGCTTCGTCTCACGCCAACGCTGAATGTCAAATTTTCATCCCTCCCTGCAGTTTGCATTCAGACCAGGAAAGGGAGTTAAACACTGGTTTACGCCCACAGAGGTGGAGATTTTAGAACTGGGTTTAGGAACCGGAAAGCAAAAAGACACAGGTTCACACGACTGCATACCTCTATGCTTCCTCCCATTCTGGATGTAAAATCGTTGCGTATGCCCCGGAAGTCGGCCTGATCTTTTTCTCGGATAATCTCCAGGACCATCTCTCTGGCTTGCTAGAGGATTTTGAAGGGACAAAAGGATCCTTGTTAATTAATGGAGGGGGGAGCCTGTATTTGGGTCTGCCAGGAGAAGGGCTGAGGACCTGGAAAGCAGGGTGAGGCTCTTCGGCTGCTCAAACTCTCAGCAAAAAGCAGGACAGAAGTTGGAAGATTATTAATGCAAAAGGCAAAAGAAAGAAAAGGGAGAGAAAAAAACCACACTGGAAAAATAATCTCAGGCAAACACACAAACAGAGACACACACCCCTTCTCTCTCTCTGGGCTGTTCTTCCAAATCCTTCCCCAACTCTTTATTATTATTATTATTATTATTATTATTATTATTATTATTATTATTATTATTATTATTATTATTATCAGCACGACTGCCAAATCCTCTCTCGATACACACCTGTACTTTAAAAGCATCTCCCGTAATCCGAAGAGGTTTATCTGCTCCAGTCGGTAAGGGGCCATCTTGGATCATCATCATTTTCACGCCTGTTCGTTCCTACATATGCATCGCACAGATAACGGGAAAGGGAGGAAGAGAGAGAGAAAAAAACTACAAGAATAAATGAAATGCTAAACCACACACACACACACACACACACACAAAAAAAAAACCCTGCTTGAAAGCTATGAAGATAAGACAAGGAAGGGAGGACTGCAAGGGAAGGAACTGAAAGATTTGGTCATTTTAACAAAAAGGAAACAATCCTTTATATATCCCTTCATTTTTAAAAAAAATTTACAGTCCAATCATGTGTGCTGAAAAAAGGGACCAATGGGTCACGTGGTCCATCCCCAGGGTCACGTGGTCAAAATGGCAACCGACTCATAGTTATGACAGTCGCAGTCCCCTTTTGTGACCTTCTGACAAGCAGTCAGATTCGCTTAATGACCGTCTGACTAGCTTAATGATGGCACCAATTCGCTTAGCGGTGAGAAAGGCTGTAAAATGGGCAACGCTCCCTTAACAACCGTCACGCCTAGCGACGGAATTTCTGGGCTCCACTGAGGTCGTAACTCAAGGACAAGCAGCAGGGGACGGAGGGCGAAGGGGAAGGAGGAGCCTACGCACCTGCAATTGTTTTATCGTTTCTCCGCCTTTGCCGATCACCAGGCCCACTTTGGAGGCTGGAATGAGGATTTCTTGTATTGTGCTGTTGCCGTCCATCTCGTTGTGGAAGCCGGGTCCGTTCCGACACCGGTCTACGATGTGGCCCAGAAGCCGTTTCGCTTGTCTTCAGAAGTTGGGGGGGGGGGGAGTGAGAGAGAAAATACAAAGAGAGACGAAGGGAAGGGGGGAAGGGGTGGGGAAAAAGAGAGAGAAAATCTCAAGGAAATTGGCTAGCAAATTGCACCCACTTCCCACCTTGTCTGGGTCCAAAAGGGAACGCAGGGTGTTTCTTTTGGTGGGGAGAAAGGAAAAAAATAAAAGGAAAGAGAAATGAAGAAAGTAGAGGCAGTCCTCGACTTACGACAGTCCATTTAGTGATCGTTCAAAGCGACAACGGCACTGAAAAACAGGACCGTTTTTTCGTAGTTACAACCTCTGCAGCATCCCCAGGACCACGTAGATCAAAACTCAGATGCTAAGCAACGGGTTCATACTTATGACCGTCGCTGTGTCCCGAGGGGGTCACGCGATCCCCTTTTGCGACCTTCGGACAAGCGATGTTGATGGGGAAGCCGGATTCACTTAATCACCGGGCTGCTAACTTAACAACTGCAGCGATTCACTTAACTGTGGCGAGAAAGGTCGTAGAACGGGGCAAAACTCATTCATCCAATGTCTCGCTTAACAACAGAAATGTTGAGCTGTAAGTCGAGGATTACCTGTAACACCGCTTCAGTGCTGGGGTGACCACACGCTAAACCAACCGTTAAAAGTTTTGGTTCCCCCTATTTGGAAAGTGGCTTTTCTCCACTCCATCCGACCCTCCCACCCGAAAGAGAGAGGGGCTTTCTCTAGGTCAAGTTCACCCTCTAGACCGGGGGGGGGGGAAACTAGGGCCCCTTTAGGACCTGTGGACTTCAACTCCCAGAATTCCTGAGCCAGGCCCCTTTGCTCTAGACAGGAGATTGACAGGACCCCTTCAAAGCATTTCAGAAAGGGACACACAACCCTCCATCTAGACTGGCTGGCCATCTTGACAGATGCCAGCTTTGTACGCAGTTGATACCTTCCTGACGTCTCCTCAGACTCTTTCTGAACCTCTGTAGGACTCTCCGTAAACGTCACAATCAAAGTCAGACAACCACCTCTGGTGGCTACTATTTGTCCGTGGTGACGCAACTGCTGCAGTTGCTGGAAGTCCTGGCGACATCAGTTGTCTACCAGCAAGTTACTGATGACACAGCCCTCAACGGGCCAACTTTTGTGGGGTCCTCGGTGCTCTCTGAGCTTGGTTGTTAGAGCTTAGTTGTTTTCCTGTAGATGTTTCATGAACCCAACTAGGAAACTTCATCAGTGATGAAGTAACTAGCAGTTCATTACTTGGATAATGAAACATCTGCAAGAAAACCGCCAAGCTCAGAAAACACCAAGGACCCCACAGTTCAGCCCTGAGCTACAAATATTCTCTTCTATCAGAGTGATTTTTTTCTTCCCGATTTGGGTGAATAATGGCCAAAGTAAATAAAACCCTCTCACTTAGATACAAAGAAAGTTTTAAACAGATAAGAGGCAGGGCCCAATTCAAATGCATGCGCGCCCCCGCCCCAGTCTTCAGACCCTGCAGCTTTGAAAAACAATCCATTTTTCAGAAGATGAACTCAAGAGTTGAGGACCACCCATTCCGAACCAGGAAAAGCAGCCAGGGCAGAGCCTCAAACCAAAGACCCTCTAAGATGGCACCAAGCGGTTACATTTATTGTGCCTTGGTGTGCACAGATTCCCCACCCTGAGGCCGAACTTCAAAAAGGAAACCAGAACAACGTCAGTGAAAGAAAGAAAGAAAGAAAGAAAGAAAGAAAGAAAGAAAGAAAGAAAGAAAGAAAGAAAGAAAGAAAGAAAGAAAGAAAGAAAGACTACTTTTCAAAACGTCCAGGGTTTATTGCCTTTAACATTCGTTAATCACCCCAATGTAATTCTTTAAAATTAAAAAGAAAAAGAAAAAAAGATTCCCACAGATGGATTTGGAAAGAGCCCACCTACCCAAAGGCTGGCTGGGGGAGTGAGAGAGCAGGTCCATATTGTTAAGTGGGCTCCTGTAAGCCTGAGGCTCGTGGTTCCAGCAGGAAGAGATCCTGGAGAGAGGCAAGCTCCGCGCCTGAGAATGGGGAGGGAGGAAATACTGTCCCTAAAGTTTCTATAGGGCGTGAGAGAGCAAAAATTCCCCCCTCCCTTGCTGGGCTGCCAAGTGGAAGGGTGTTAGGGGGGAAGAGGGAGAGGGCAGCGGTTCGTCCCCTACCCAAAGGAGCAGTCAGGAGAAACTGACTGGCATGCATCGGTCAAACGCAAAAGGGTTGGGAGGAAGGAGAAATGGCCGGACACCTCTGCGCTTCTCTGGCCTGCTGCTGAGACGGCCTTCTCCAGACCCCCTTTCAAGGAAGGAGGGAGGGAGGGAGGGAGTCGAAGCCCACCCGTTTTATCTCTGATGGTCAAGCATGTTGTCCATTATCTCTGGTGGCTTCTGGGCTTCCTAAAGGACCACCACTCCTTTGTAGCAGCGGTTGTAATTGTCTCTCCAACAGGGCCTGGGGGCCTCGCGATGATGTTTCACAAGAGGGACGGAAAAACAATTAGGACGCTTAGAGTTCCCTGGGGCGGCCTCGCCTTGGTCCCACCGTTATACAGGTAGTCCTTGACTTATGACTTGCTAAGCGAGGCATTCGCTAAGTGAATTTTGCCCCGTGTTACAACCTTTCTTGCCGCAGTGGTCAAGTGAATCCCTGCAGCTGCAAAACTAGCGACGCTGTTGTGGCTTCCCCCCTTGACTTTGCTTGCCAGAAGGTCGCCAAAGGGGATCACGTGACGCCAGGACACACCGTGGCCGTCATAAATATGAGTCGGTTGCCAAGTGGCTGAATTTTGATCAGGTGATCATAGGGAGGCTGCAGCAGTTAGAGGTGTGAAAAACGGCCACGTGGGGTTTTTTTTCAGCACGGTTGTAACTTCGGTCACTAAATGAACTGTTGTAAGTCAAGGACCATCTGTACTCCAGGTGATGCACAATCCCTGCTCCAAAAGAGGGAGTTTTCTCCAACAGGCCCCCTCCTCTGCTCTGAGGTGCCCTTTCTTCTCTCGTTCCTTCCAGGCACCAATGGAAGACCTGGAACTAGGCTCTATCTTCCTAAAAACCTTATCATCCTACCAAGATCTAGTGCAAAGGATTGAGGCCGAATGGAGAGATGGAAGGAAGGGATTTGGGGCAATTAAAAAAGAGGGGGTGGGGGTGAGAACGGAACTCTCTCTCAAAAGCCACCCTTCCCACCCTGGAGATCTCCTCCACACAACTCAGCCAGAGCTGGTAAAGTTTGATTTCTAGATGAAGGAAGGAGCAGATTTATTCTCCATGCGTTCTACGTGGCGTAAGTATTCGCTGCAATAAAAAACTGGTTGATTATCCTGTTGCCCTACTTTTGCAAAAATGATTGCTGGAGGGATTAAACCTTTTTCAGTTCTTGGCATCAAACCACCCTCGGCACGAAGCGAGCTCAGGGTTACATCATATTATTATTATTATTATTATTATTATTATTATTATTATTATTATTATTATTATTATTATTATTATTATTATTATTCAGAACTCGAAGAAACGTCTAAGGGGCGTGAAGGAAAAGGGAACCGCACTAAGAGAAAACTGCACTAAGAGAAAATGCTTGCCAGGCGAAAAGGCTGGCAAGCGCACCGTGGCTTGTTTCGAGGCAGCGTGGAGAAAAGTAAAAAACAGATCAGGGTAGAACCGAAAAGAAGAGACGATAGAGGACAGAGTTGAGGGGATGAAAAGAAATCACAGACACTGGCTTTAAACGCTTACTCGATGCTCTCTGGGGATCCAGTCAGCATGCAAGGCCGCTCCGCCATCCCACCGCTGTCTGTCAAGGCAAAATAAGAAAAAAGTCAATGGCTCTTGTCCATCCTGCTGCCAGCTTTCTGTTTAGAAAGGACAGGGCTGACGGTAATCCATAGAATCCTAGGATGGACGGGACCTCGGAGGTCTTCTAGTCCAACCCCCTGCTAAAGGCAGGAGCCCTTGCATCAACCCGGTCAAATAGCTGTCCAGTCTAACTTTGGAAACCTGCAGGCATGGAGCACCCACAATTCCAGGTGGCAAATTATGCCATTGATTGTTTTCACTGCCAGGAAATGTCTCCTTAGTTCCAGGTTGGCTCTCTCTTTAACAAGCTTCTAGGCTAAAAGACCCCTCTTCTGTAATTGCACATTCAAGTTATGAGGCCAAATTCAATTTTCAGAGCCTCCCCGATTAATATCCACTGCTTGTCATTCCCCTTGCCTTAACCACGACCAATATGTCTATGTTAACGGAAATAGGGAAATCAAGCGTTGTGTTTATTCATGGATAACAGAGAAACAGGCTGAGTTCCTCCATCATGACAAGCTAAGGTAGTCTGACAAACCACTATTAGCTAAAATCAGACTATATCTCAATCTGGTTTTTCCAGACATGTGGGCTAAAATTCTCAGCATGCTCATAAATAGCTGCCAGGTGCTCAGGTGAGAGAGCGCCACGATAAGCCACAGAACATGGTTCATAAACCCCAATAGATGGATTCACACACTATAACCAGAACCCATGCAATCACGCTACTGGTCCGGTTTAATGTCCGAACCCAGCCACAGCCCTGGAATCAGAGGCCGGCTTGCAGACCTGGTCTTTCTCTGAGGCTTTCCTCTCTAAATAAGGGAATGGATTGGAGCAAAAATTAAATTACTGTTTACCACCCACCCGCCAAAGCTCCTTACCTGATGCAATCTGAATTTTGCACCCTGATTCTGCCTGAATCCGCGAGATTTGCTCACCGCCTCTGCCGATAACTGCAAAACATATAGCCAACGTCAGGCTACGTCTACTCGTGCTTTGGAGAAGAGGTTGACCCCCTTTCCCCCTCAAATATTGGAAGACCGCTATCATGCCACCCCTAGTCTTTCTCTTCGTTAGGCTATAGACGTGTTCAGTTCCCTCAACCATTCATTGTTCGCTTTAGCCTCCAGAGCCCTGATCATCACTGCTACTCTTCTCTGTACTCTTTCTAGTCTCAATATCTCTTTTATATTTCCTTGGCTCAAATTGGATATCAAAGCCAGCTCATCCTTAACACTGGCTTTAAAAAAATCCTCTTTTTCTCCTTTTCTCTTCTTAGCATGAAATCCTGGGGGCAAAGCCTGTTCTCTTGTGTGATCAATGCCAGGAATTTGGGAATACTATAAAGTTGGGGGTCACAGAACTGATTTCGCCTTATACTCAGGTTATCAGGGCACAGTGACTGCATTCACACAATACCCTAGTCTCCAACAAATGATACAGGTAGTCCTCGACTTACGACCATATTTGAGCCCAAAATTTCCATTCCTGAGCAGGACAGTTTGTTAAGCGAATTTTGCCCCATTTTACGACCTTTTTTGCCACAGGAGTTAAACGAATTGCTGCAGTTGTTTAGTATCATGGTTATTAAGTTACTCCAGCTTCCCCACTGGATTTGCTTGTTGGGAAGTCACAAAAGGGGGTCGCCTGCTCCTTGGATCCTGAAACCGTCATAAATACGAGTCAGATCTTGCCAAGCGTCCGAATTTGGATCATGTGCTGCAAAGGTCGTAAGTATGAAAATCGGTCCCTTTTTCCAGGGTCGTTGTAACTTTGAACGATCACTAAATGAAATGCTGTAAGTCGAGGACAACCTATGGCAGATTTCTGCAACGGACGGGAGATCACTGTCTTATTCTCAAGAGATTTTAGAAGCTTTGAGTCCCATAATCCCCTTCACACTCAGCTGTGTGAATGGCTCCACCCGAAGCAGCTTTGTTTCGACTTCCACAGAACGAGTGCTTGAATGCCCCCTCCTCAGCAAATACTTACTGAATCCAACCATTTTGTCAGGCACTTTGAAATCTTCAGTTATTACTGCCCTGAAGAGAACAGGAAAGAAAATTCATCAACTTTTCTTTCACCGTTTGGAAAAAAAAATCAGCTTCAGATGCCAGGAATAATGAGGGGGATCAGCTCAGCATCTGGGGAGTTGTAAAACTACACCCAGATGCAAATGGAAGAAACAGGCTTGGTATCACTGTCAGCATTCTTGCCTTGGGGAGGGGACCTGATGTCCCCCAGTGGATAGCTATAGAAGTGGTGGAGGTGGAGTCAAGAAAGGAATCAGCCCGGAGTCCTTACGTTGCCACAAATGGCCCAAGTCCAGCCTCTCTTGAATTCTGTTAACTCTTATCTAGTGCCAATTTTTAACACCCACTAATGGACTTATCTGGCCCTAACCTAGCCCATCTCCTCTTAACAGAATAACGAGAGTTAGACGGGACCTTGGAGGTCTTCTAGTCCAACCCCTTGCTCGAGCAGGAGATCCTATACCATTCATCCAAAGACTATTAGCCGTGGTTCAGTTTTACGACTTCTGCTTCCACCAGGATAGATTATTCTACATATAAAATCTCCACTTGGTTGGCTAGTGGAAGTTCTTTAGATGCCTGCTAAATGAATTTAGGTGTCATAGAACTGGATGCTCTCAATCTTCTAGACATGGCCCCAAGAAAGCATCTTGAATACAGGTAATTCTCAACTTACAATTGTAATGAAGCCTGGAATTTCCACTGTAAGTCACGACAGTCGTAAGTCGAGGCACCCGACTGACCTGATTTTACACCTTTTTTTGAGATGGATGCAAACAAGTCCATTTATTTACTTACTTTTTAACCTATTTATATGATACCTTTATTGTTCTTACAAATAACTCAAGGCAGCAAACATATCAAATACACCTTCCGCCTCCTATTTCCCCTCCCCACAACAACCCTGTGAGGTGGGTTGGCCTGAGAGAGAATGACTGGCCCAAAGTCACCTAGCTGTCTTTCATGGCTAAGGCAGGACTAGAACTCCCAGTCTCCTAGTGATCAGCCCAAAGTCAACCAGATTTTCATTGAACTCACGGTCTCTTGCTTTCTGGCCTGGTGCCTTAACCACTAGGCCAAACAGGCTCCATTCATTCCTAAGGGGTTTTTTTGGGGGGTGGGGGGGAGGCTGGAAGCTGGCAAAAATGCCATAAATCAATAAAAAAGCGAGCCAATTGCCAAGCACCCCAAATGTTTTCAATGTGTATTGGTGTCAGAACTCCAGAACCAAGTCATAAAAACCCTTTTGAGAGTGTCATAACCCTGAATGGTTGCTAAGCACCTGGTCATTAAGTGAGGACTATCTGCATCCTTTTACTCTTCACCCTGATCTTGTCTATCTATCTAATATTGTCTTCTCCTTGTTCAATCTCACCCAAGCCTCACTCACTGGCATCAGGTAAATATTTATTAACTGCAAGCCTCTTCTGTGTGAATACACCACCAATGACTCCTTCACTCCCTACGCCCCCCCCTTCAAAAAAAAATAATCATCATAGAATATTCTGAAGCAGAAGACTTAAGAAAAGGAAAAAGAGATGGAAACCGCCCGCAGTTTTGCGGCGTTCCCAACCTCTGACTTTCTAATACTCCAGTGCAGATGGCAGATCAATAAACAATTACCAGGGATCGATAAATAATAAAACATAACCCACGGCTTACCTTTGATGTACGAGGGCCCCTAACTGGTTACCTACTGTGGCACAGAAGAGAGAGAGAGAAAGGGGGGAGAGAGGAAAAAAAATCAAAGCATTAGTATGGATAAACTAACTTCATCTGCCCGTTTTCATCGGGGTGAGGGGAAAAGAGAAAAGCAAAGCGGAAAAAAAAAAAACCAGCAATTTGGGTTCAGTGACTGAAATGAATGCTCGTCGCGGGACGGGAAACAGGAGATGTTTTGATCCACCCCAGCCGGGCAGGAAAGCATCCAGCTGAACACTGGATAGGAAATTGATCCACCTCCCTTCCATGCTGTGAAGCATGGGAGAAAGACCCCCTCTACCCCACCCCACAAATCCCTGTAAGTGCTGTTCCCTGTCCCACTGGGATTCCCCCCACCTCTCCAGCCCAAAAGGAAAGCTGATATTAAAAAGGATCAAGAGGACCGATAGTTGTTAAAACAAAACCGGAGGAACCGTTAACAAAAGAGATTTGGAGAGTTTTAAGTCAAATCAAAAATAAAAAGTATTGGGAGAGAAAGAGAGAGACATACAAACATACTTCTGGGGTTATCTCTTATCTGCGATCCATGAAGCCAGTTTACACGGAGACCTGTTAAAGAGAGAGGGCGGTCAAAGAAGGCTCCGTCGTCAAGTTGAGGCTATGGTCAGCTTTCTACTCAAGAGGTCCACCTAAGATGTCCTCCGCTTGTCCGGAAGCTTCTAAGGAAGCTTGAGGTCAAAGAACTTTGCATCATCAAGTTGAATTTCTGATCATGTTTCCACTCAATGGAGGAGCCATAGTCACTTAACAGCCATGTTACTAACTTAACAACTGCAGTAACTGACTTAAAAAACTGCGGCCGTGAAGGTTGTAAAATGGGGTACAAAAATCACTTAACTGTCTCCCTTAGCAACAGAAATTTTGGGCTCAACTGTAGTCGTAAGTTGAGGATTACCTGTAGTTCATCAACTCAAGTCAAAATTATCCCTCCGGTCATGCCTTGGAGGGTTTAATAGGGTCTCGTGTCACGTATGAACTGAGAAGAGCCAAATGTGGCTTAATAGATTTGGATTAACAAATCATGGTTAATTAAGGCTACAGAGATGTTTCTGGAAGCCCTGCCCCAATTTATTAGTCTTCATTGCATTTTCCAATTTTTATAATCTTTGTGGGATGGGAATTATGGCACCTGAAATCCAAGATTATATATATATATTAAAAAAGAAGAAGCCTGAAAGCCTTCTCAGCAGAGGGAATAGAAAGGTAAAAATTAACACAGGGTTGCTAGGACGCAGCTTGGCAGACGGAAATCACAGGCAGGAAAAAGACTGGGTTCCCCCCCCCCTTCTTTGCTCTAAGCAACCCAATTACTCCAGGTTTTCAGCTGCTTGTTTTAAGAAAGTAGCGCACCCTTTGCAGGAAATAATTGAAAAGGGAGAGTGGAGAACACGAGAATGAATTCTGCATTTCAAGCTCCATTTCATGCCCATTTCCCAGGTCAGTTCAGTCATTTTCAGTGGCGAGAGGCATAGATTAAGTCTATTTTCTTACGAATGACACTCTTCCCCCCCCCACACACACACACATTCCACCCCTCAGAAAAGCGCAGGGAACTTGTGACAATCAATGTCCCGCCAGGACACCTCTATTTCATCATGCTCTACCAATCAATTGCCTATTTTCTGAAATGGGATAGGTGCAACTTTTACGGGTCTTTCTCGCTGCTGAAGTGGCTATTTTCTGCTTGTTCGAAAAGTAAAATTCAGAATATGCATGAGGATTAGAGAAAGTGACATGAGCAGAAGCAGGAAAGGAAAGCTTTAGACAACTTAGGACAAATTAAGGATGTAACCCAGATCCTTTCTTCCTCCTTCCTTCCTTCCTTCCTTCCTTCCTTCCTTCCTTCCTTCCTTCCTTCCTTCCTTCCTTCCTTCCTTCCTTCCTTCCTTCCCTTCCCTTCCCTTCCCTTCCCTTCCCTCCTCTTTCTTTTCTTTTCTTCCCATCTCCCTATAAGGTGGATCTGGGTGGTTTACAGGTTATAAAACGGGTAAAAAAAAATAAGTTAAAACGATGAAAAGAATGCAACGTTAAAATATTATTCTGCATTTCTGGTATTCCCTTAAATCCTTATCAAATCTATCAGCCCCAAATTGTCCAGAGCAATTTTACAGGCTCGATTTTATGGCCACCTTTATCGCAATTGTATGTCAAGAGTTGCTGAGTTAATGCATCAGTTAATTAATTAATTTAATGCATTAAAAGCTCAACAGCTCTGGAAGATGATTCATCACAGAATGAAACAAATGTCTTTCCCCCTTGCCAGCTGATTTTTCTATTAGGCATTATTAAGCTTTATGTCCACATAAAGTACATGAAGTCAGCTCTATATATGGTAATAGTTGCTAGGATATTTTATATTTCTTACTGGAAATGACACACAATTTGTCTCTTAGAAGAGGAGCAGGCTAAGCTATGTCCGCATGCATTGATGTCAAAAATTGCTTTGTGTTTAAACAAGTCAGCTACTGAAATTGCTGGCTGATCGTCATTTTGTTACAAGTTAGGATTTGTTTTTGTGATCTCGGATACCTATTAACTGTATTGTTGCTTTTATTGATTTTTAAGCTGTACGCTACTCTGAGTCGCTGCTAAAATGGGCTCCTCAATCACTTTTGCGGTACCATCGTAACTTTGAACGGTCTCTAAACAAATGGTTTGTAAATTGAGGACTGCCACTACATTTATTTTTCCCTTGCAAGAGGAAAAAGTTAACCTTCCTTGGAACTTAACAGCTCCAAAACTGCCCTTGGGCAAGCACTCTCTGAAGGGAAGTCTCAGCACCTTTGTCCCCTTATCAAGGGAAAGACTAAACAATCGCTCAAGCATTATTGCTGCTGCTAAAATGAATCTTCTAACCACTTCCAACAGCTCTGCATGATTCTGTTCTTGCAGGGCCCAGCGTGAACGCTGGTTGAGGACAAACCCCAATTCATGGCATGGGTCCAGGTTACTTGAGGGACCGTCTCACCCCACCGGGATTGGCTCGTCCCACTCATGATGGCAGAGGAACCCTAATGAGGGTCCCATCAGCCCGGTTATTCATTCCAGCACACAGGGTCCAGGAGAGGGCCTTCACTGCTGTGGCCCCCGCCCTCTGGAAGATCTTTCCACCCTGATGTGAGGTTGGCCCCAACCCTCCTATCCCTTCGCAAGGGCCTAACGACCTGGTTCTGCCACTTGGCTTGGGACCCCAGTGGGGGGGACAGCGCAATGGAGATGGCTGATTGAGTAACGACAGATCCCAGCTCCTCCCCATGTGTCTTTCATTCTAATGTTTGATTTTTAACTTTTTTATGGCTTAGCTTAGATGTAACTTAAGCCACCCAGCGTTACCCTAGGGCAGGGGTCTGCAACCTTAACAACTTTTAAGACTTGTGGACTTCAGCTCCCAGAATTCCTCAGCCAGCATAGTCCACAAGTCTTAAAAGTTTTCAAGGTTGCAGACCCTGGCCCTAGGGTAAGATGGCCGGCCAATAGGATGGATGGATGGATAGATAGATAGATAGATAGATAGATAGATAGATAGATAGATAGATAGATAGATAGATAGATAGATGAGAGAGAGAGAGAGAGAGAGAGAGAGAGAGGAAGAGAGGGGGGGGGATAGATTCTCTTCCCCACTGCCAGCCATTGCCAAACCAAACCAAACTTTCCTTAAAGTAAAAAGGATTTCAAAAAGTTGGGGAAAGACTTACTCCCGTCTTCCAAAGCCCGCTTGACTCCGTAACCGTACACCGAGGGGTCCACGAGGGGTGCAGAATTATTCACGTGAGAAATTTCTCCAATTTTAGCAGCCATTTGCTAGAGGCAGAGAAATAAAAAACAAAAATCATTAGCTAGGTTTAGACGGGGCGAGCTTAGAAAGTTCTCTGCTCTGGTAACGAACCAGCCTGGGAAGAAGCAAAATGGAAAGGTTTTGTTTATGACGATTGTGGCGTCCCAGGGTCCTGTATTCACCTTTTGCAGCCTTTTGGCAAGCCAAGTCCATGGGGAAGCCGGCTACGCTCAACAACTGTGTTACGAACTCAACAACTGTAAGGGATTCACTTAAGCACTGAGGCAAAACCCACTTGACAAATGCCTCACTTAACGGCAGAAGTTTTTGGGCTCCTTTGTGGAGCACTACCCGTCGTTTATGTCAATCCTCAGACCCCTGAAAGACAAGGTGTCTTCTGAAAGGCAGATGGGGGTCAACTTATGAAACCCCCCCAAGACTTCCAATATTTCTGAAGAAAAGCAGAGAAAGGTCGACTGCCTTTGTGAAAGGAGCACTTTGAACATGAGAGTTAGTTATTCCTGCTTTGGCAGCTGTTTACTCAGGAATGTGGATAACTGGGGCGGGGGGGGGTTAGCTTCTAGGAGACAGCCTTATCTCAGCTATGCGGGGTTACTGGCCACAGAGCCTGCTGACCAAGGAGCTCTCCTTCCTTCGCAGAAGATTACTTAAGGGGTGTCAAAGTCTTTTTCCTCTGCCCAGAAGACTTTTGGACCTAGAAGAGGCAGCGCTGTCTCATCTCCCCCTCCTCTCTGCGGATGACCCCTGCCCACCTATTAATGCTAAAACACACAGGGATGGATGGATCCAGGTCCTGTCTAAAAAGCTACAACGTTCACCACAACATTCCAGCTTGAACAAGAGTCAAATGAACCAAGGTGACTCAAGAGTAGTGTAGAATCAATGGGCTGGGAAGGACCCCGGAGGTGGTCTAGTCCAACCCGCTGCCCAAGGCAGGAGACTTTATACCATCCTGGTCAAATGGCTGTCTAATCTCCTCTTGAGAATCTCCGGTGTCTGAATCGCGTGACCCTGGGGATGCTGCAATGGTTTCAAGTGTGAAAAACGGTCGTGAGTCAATGCCGTTGTAATTTTGGGCATAAAATGAACAGTTGTAAGTCAAGGATACTGAGAACCCCCCCTCCCCCCCAAAAAAGAAAGAAAATTATTTTTCAGGGCTTAGGCCTCCTCAAACGTGAGGCTGCAGCTGCTTAGCAAAACCTTTCTGATCCAGCTTATGTAACACAATGCCCTTAGAGAGAGATAAAATGGAAAAAATGAGGAGCACCATTCAAGGTGCTTTAGCGCAGGGAGGAAAGAGAGAAAATGTGTATAAAACAAGAACTGGCGGCTCCAGCAAAACTCTCCCAACGCCGCACATTAAAGGGCGTTCCCTAAGAAAGCATTTGAGAGATAGAACAAGGCCCTATCCTGGGAACCCAGAAGACAACCTGCTACCGCGGTGCCAGCTTCGTTATGAAAAAGAGCAAGGATAAACAGACAAGAGAGAAGTATTAATGAAGGAGTTTTGTCTAGTGGTTAAGGCCCTAGGCTAGAAAGTGGGAGACTGTGAGTTGTAGTCCCAGCTTAGCCGTGAAAGATGGCTGGGTGACTTTGGGCCAATCACCAGGAGATGGTGAGTTCTAGTCCTGCCTTAGGCATGAAAGCCGTCTGGGTGACTTTGGGCCAATCACCAGGAGACTTAGTCTTAGACCGTGGACACTGGATGGAAACCCATGCTGAGAAAAATAATCAGCTTCTTTAGACGGGGAGAATAGAGATTGTTTTTTTAAAAAAGAAATAAAACTAAAGCGAGGCACATCAGGGGATTTTACGTATGTGTAGAGGGGTAAAACTGGCAGCAACTATTCAGGAAAGAAAACTAAATGGCTCAGTGGAAACCAGCCCTGTAGTGAAAGAGGGAGGGGGGGGGAATCCATGCTAGGAATCCGTTGGGAAGTAGTAAGGGAAGGCCCATGGAAGCAGCTGCAAGGCAAAGCCTTTGTGCAAACCTGTTATACAGATTCTCACTAGCCCTTAATGGAAAAACATTTGCTGACCTGGAAAAATGTCAGGGAATCGAGAGAGAGTCACAGGACTGGATGGGCACCTTTGCAAATGTTAAAATATGGGGAAGGGGGTGAAAGAGAGGCAGGAGGAGGAATGTGCAGAGAAAAGCAACCATGATGGCGAAAGGCCTGGAGGCTCAATCATAGGGTGAATGGTTGAGAGAAGTAGGTATGTCTAAGGCTAACGCAAAGAAGCCTTACGGGGGGCATAGAATAGCAACCCTCCAGTATCTGAAGGGCTGCCACAAAGAAGAGGGGGGTCAAGCTATTCTCCAAAGCCCCTGAAGGCAGGACAAGAAGCAACAGATGGAAGCTCATCAAGGAGAGAAGCAACCCAGAACTAAGCAGAAATTTGCTGAGAGTGGGAACAAATTAATCACTTTTCTCTAGAACTTGTGGGTGCTCCATCACTGGAGGTTTTCAAGAAGAGACTAAACAGCCGTTTCTCAAAAGGGATATACGTTTGCCAGCTTGAGCAAGGGGGTTGGACTAGACAACCTCCAAGGTCCCTTCCAGCCCACAGGATTCTATGTTCTAAAACATCCACAGTGCAAACGTCCACAACCATTTTAAAAACAGCAACAGCTAAGCGTGTTTGCTAGCAGGTCAGTTTGTCACCCAGAGTACGGAGAGGGAACGAAAGCTCTCCGTTTCATTTGGTAGCTTTCTGTTTGACTTTAGGTTGCACTGAATTAATTTGTTTTTGTTATTTGAACAAAGGTTGGCTTACAGCACACTCCTGGCCAAGTCAAGTCAAAAGCCGATGTTGATGATGTGGCAGTTTCTCAACAAATTACGGCTCAAAAGAGTAGCTGAAACGCTGTGAATGCCACAACTGGACTTTAAGTTACTTGATGGGATGACAAGTTTTTGAAAGTTTTTCGTTTCCAGCACCTGCCGTAAGTTAATGGGGAAACTGAAGTTAGGTGGTTTGATTACAGCACAGGTAATCCTCAACTTATGACAATATAAAAACCTAACCTGGGACAACTAGAAGCAAGCATTCACCGGTCTTTCTGGCAGCTTTACAGCTTTTGGCTCCTTAATCAGGCCACGAATCCACACCGGGGAATAAAAAAGCACAATGCCACCATTTGCCCTTCACTGATTTACACCACAAAAAGTGCTTTCTAAACCTGTTTCTGGCACAGCCTTGGATTGGTGGCTTAGGAGGTAATAATCTTATCAAGATTTGGGGGAAATGCACCACAGCTAGTCCTGGGCTTACAAATATTTGTTTAGTGACCATTCAAAGTTACAACGGCACTTGACTTATGAGCGTTTTTCACACTTACGAACTTACACTTACAAAAGAGATCAGACAGCCACTTGTCCGAAATGGCACAGGGTCTCCTGCTTGAGCAGGGGGGGTTGGACTAGATGACCTCCAAGGCCCCTTCCAACGTGTTATTCTGACCATGGCAGCATCCCCGCAGTCACATGATCAAAATTTGGAGGCTTGGCAACTGGCATGTACTTAAGACAGTTGCAGCATCCCAGGGTCACGCAGTCACTGTTTGCGACCTCCTGACAGGCAAAGACACTGAGGACACCGGATTCACTTAACTGTGTTACTAACTTAACAGCTGCAGTGATTCACTTAACAAGTGTGGCAAGAACTGTCGTAAAATGGGGCAGAACTCATTTAACATTGTTTACCAACAAAAACTTTGGGCTCAACGGTGATGGTAAGGCGAGGACTCCACGTAAAATCAAGCAGGTCTCTTCCTACAGCCTTTTGCAGGCCAAAAAGTATCTTTCAGGGAATATTCTCCATAACATTAGACATCTATTAGCATTAATACTCATTGTTTTAATGTTTCCACTTGTTGCTTTCAAGGATCGTAAACCACCCGGAGCCGCCTCTGGAGGGGACGAGCAGCATGTAAGTTGAATAAATAAATAAATAGTCAATAAATACAGGTAGTCCTCAACTTACGACCACAATTGAGCGCAAAATTTATGTTAAGTGAAACATTTGTTAAGCGAGTCTTGCCCCATTTTATGACTTCTCTTGCCGTTGTTAAGGTAGTAACCTGGTTGTTAAGTGACTCTGGCTTCCCCTTTGACTTTGTCAGGTTGCAAAAGGGCATCACGTGACCCCCCCACCAGGCGACCCACAACAGTCACAAATATGAATCGGTCCCCAAGCATCTAAATGGTCATAAGTGTGAAAAGCGGACATGAGTCAATCCCATTGTAACTTTGAACGGTCACTAAATGTACTGTTGTAAGTCAAGGACTACCTACAAACCTCCAACAATATTCCCAAGGAAAAGGGGTAGGAGAAAAAACAGACCTATAGGTCGGAAAGAGGCAGGAAAAGACGTTACAGGACGCAATTGTGTGTGCAGTCCAAGGTACCTGTTGCACTAAATTATCTGCACAGCCAGAAAAAGTCCTGAAGGGAATGAAGTACACTGGATCACAATGAACGTGCTGGGATGAGGTGGTCAGTTAAGTTCTGCCTTGCCCACAAATAATCACACGGGCTGTTCAGTTATGCAACTCGTTTTGATGAATAAGCTCTGTGCCTCTCTTACCATGGTTACTTAGCATGAGGCACCTGGGGCTGGACAGCAGGCTAAACAGCTCAGAGGCAGAATTGTCTATGCAATGGCAACTCTTATCACGCGCAGTTTATTTTTCATGATTCAAATAGGCAGCACTGTCAGATCCCAGAGAAAAAGAGAAATGATAAAACTATTACAGAAACATCATAGTTCTCGACTTACAGCCTAAGGAAGGACTAGAACTCACTGTCTCCGGGTGATCGGCCCAAAGTTATCCAGCTGGCTGTCATGTCTAAGGCAGGACTAGAACTCACTGTCGCCTGATGATTGGCCCAGAGTTACTCAACCAGCTTTCACGCCCAAGGCAGAACTAGAACTGCCAAAGACACCCAGCTAGCTTTCATGCTTAAGGTGGGACTAGAACTCGCCATCTCCTGGTTTCTAGGCCAGCACCTTAACCACTACAACAAACTGACTCTCCAGTTCACTGACTGTCTTGTTAGAGCAGTGGTTCTCAACCTTTTTAATGCCGCGACCCCCAACCGGTCGTAAGTTGAGGACTACTCAACCGGTCGTAAGTAGAGGACTACCCAACTGGTGCAGCACCGTTTGCAGAATGGGACTTTTGGCGGGCTCCACAGGGCAGAGACAGCCTGGATAATTCCTATTGGCTTTTGAAAGCCAATAGAATTAGACTCTATTCAAGAGAGTCTATTCTATTGGCTTTCAAAAGCCAATGGAATAAAAGGGAGTAGCACAGCTAAGGAAAAGAGGGGAAAAAATGGCAGACTGCGTTGTTTAGCGACCCCTGTGAAATGGTCGTTCGACCTCAAATGGGGTCCCGACCCACAGGTTGAGAACCACTGTGTTAGAGGAAGCGGGGTACAGCACAATAGGGACCCACAGCATAAGACAACTTCACAGAGTCTAGAAAGGTCACCACACAGAGATCCTTGGGTTCAACCTTGAAGGAATACTCAGTGGTGATAACGTGTGGATATCAAACAGCTAATGCACACGACAAAGGGAGATATCTGATCCTTCATGTACTTGTGGGGGGGGAAAATCACACAGTAACAATGCAAGATGGGTGTCTAGCTTAGAAGCATGACATATAGTCTGATGTTCACACATCCAAGTTATCTCTGTTTTCAAGAGCTCTCGAGAGAGAGATGCTAAGGAGCAACTTCAGGCCGCTTCACGAAATGATAAAACTCTGTACCGTTAGTTTGAAATACAGGCAGCCCAGAATTTACGCTGCTAAGAGAGTTTTGCCCCATTTTATGACTTTTCTTGCCACATTTGTTAAGTGAATCACTGTGGTTGTTAAATGAGTAACACGGCTGTTAAGTGAATCTGGCTTAGCTTGTCCGAAGGTCGCAAAAGGGGATCACGTGACCGTCATAAATAAGAACCAGTTGTCAAGCGTCCGAATGCAAATCACGTGACCAGGGGGATCCTGCCACGGTCATAAGTAACTTTTTTCAGTGCTTCGAACGGTCACTAAATGAACTGTTGTAAGCCGAGGACTACCTGTAGAGAGCAGTGCATGAACGTGATTGGCAGGAAGGATGATTTGTAGGACTAGAACGTCAGAGAGGAGGAAGATGAGTTAGATGCAGATACTTCCATTTTTCTTTCCCCCCCCCCCTTTTAAGTTGCACTTCCTCAGCTTACTGTTTGCTTTTCCTTTTCTGGGCTTTGCAAAAGAGCTGTTCGCCTCGGAAAATAACACAATAGTGTGACGGACATAGGCCTGCGTATGCGTAAAAAAAAAAAAAGCAAGAAAGAGCTGAAGAATTCAAACTTTCCTCTGCACTGGGCCAAAAGATGAAGCATTTGAGACAGGGGGCATATAAATTTAAGAAATATATAAGAAGCTATGCAAGTAGGCAAGAAGACGGATGTAGTTCAAGGCGATGGCAAAACAACTTGCCTTGTCCTGGTTGCCAATCTGTCAAACAACGTGCAGTTTCCAGCTGTGTGTAGACTTTGCACAGCTGCAGAAGAGAGCCAGCGAAGAAGCTGTAAGAGGCCTGCAGCTTTTCCCTTATCAGGACAGGAAATAAGGGATTTTTAGTGTAGCTGGAAGAGTCCCACTGCAAGTGAACGTGATTGTGGAAGTTGCCAAGAATGGTTTCAGGGAAGAGAGAGAAAGCCTGCACTCCCGCTGAACTATTAAAGCCCAGTGGAAGGAGACATGGGGCCAAACCTGTACAGGCAGTCCTCAACTTACAACACCTCATTCAGTGACTGTTCCAAGTTACAACGGCACTGAAAAAAGTGACTTATAACCGTTTTTCACACTTGATCACCGTGGTCACCTGATCAAAATTTGGACACTTGGCAACTGATTCATATTTATGACAGTCACAGCATCCTCCTGGGGTCACGTGATCCCCTTTGGCGACTTTCTGACCAGGAAAGTCAATGGGGAAGCAGGATTCACTTAATAACAGTATTACTAATTTAATGACTATATTCACTTAAGAACTATGGCAAGAAAGGTCCAAAATGGGGCAAAACTCAATGTTCCCTTAGCCACAGAAATTTTGGGCTCCATTGTGGTCGTAAGTGAAGGACTAACCGTAGGAGTACAGGAGGGTTCCTTGGTGTTCTCTCAGCATATTTTCTTGCAGACGATTCGTTGCCCAAACTAGGTAACATCATCAGGGCTAGGAGGCAGGACTCCCTTCTAACACTGATGTTGGTACCTAGCTGGGTCATGAAATGTCTGCAAAAAAACAACCAAAGTCAGAGAGCTCCAAGGACCCCACAGTCCTCCTCCTCCTCTTGTGTGATCGGACACACAAAGAATTTGTCTCCGGTGTAGAAGCTCACAGTGTACATATAAACAGCGGGGGAGAGGTCATAATCATAGTTACATTCAAGTTTAGTAAATAAAAATAAAGGATCTCAGCCAGGCACGGAGGCCTGCTGCCTCCGAGCTCCGGCAGGGACCTGTCAAAACACTCAGCACCCAAGGCAGGGTGGCTGGGCCTCTTTTCGGGATGCTCCCCCGCCTCCGGGTGGGCTGTAAGGAAGCAGAGTCCGGGGTGACAGGCCCTCTAGTCGGCCCTGCTTGGGCTGCCCTACTGACTAGGAGGCTGGAGCAGAGGGGCTGCTGCTCTCCCCTCCTAGATAGCCGAGCCTCCACATCCAGGAACAGTCTACCAGGGAGCCCCTAGAAAGGCAGCCTAGCACAGCCGAAGGCAGGCAGCTGCTGGTGGGCTCCAAGCAGGGTCCTGGGGGGGCCCCGGGGGCAAGGTCAGGGATGGGGGCTGTCAAGGAGCAGAGCGCCCCCAGCGCCCCGCTTCCCAGCGCCAGAGAGGCGGGAGAGTCCCGGGGCGGCGGGGCCCCCTTTTCCCGGCATGCCTCGGGCGTCCCGGCCACCCCCAAGAGCCCTCCCGGCCGGCCTGCTGTGGGGCGGCCCGGCCCACCTCCTGTCAAGCCAAGGCCGGGCCTGCGGCCTCCTCCCGCTGCCCGCTCTGCCCCGGCGGCCCTCGGAGCCCCGCAGCCGGCTTTCCCTGACCCCGCGGGGCCCTCCGGACGGCCCTGGACGTCGGCCCGCCCGCCGCCGCCGCCGCCACTCACTCGGCCTCTCCGTCTGGCGCCCGGGGGCTCAAGCGCTCCGGCTGCCTCGCTCTCCCTCCGCCTGGGGACCCGTACCCGGAAAAGGAAGTCCCTCCCTCGCTTCCGGCGGAAAGCGGAAGGAGGACGGGGTGGCGGCGCTGGCGCGAGGGAGGGAGGGACGCGTGACGTCACGGGCCGAGAGGAGCGTCATGTGAGCGGGGCTCCTCCGCGGGAAGGCCGCAGGGGGCGTGGCGGGGGCGTGGCGGGCGCGCGGAGCCGTCGTCGCCCCCTCCCTTTGCGCTGCGGCTGAGCTACGCGCTGCGCGGGGCTCCGTTGCGCGCCCCGTTTGCAGGATCGGTGCAGCCGGTGGGGGAGCTTCTTTGCCTCCCCGGGCTCCGTCCTGGAGGTCTTCCATGCCAGACCCACCCAAAGGTCTTCCATGGGAGATGCAGCCCATCCAAAGTGCTTCCTTGGTCAATAGGTTCTCCTGCTTGAGCAGGGGGCTGGACTAGAAGACCTCCAAGGTCCCTTCCAGCTCTATCCTATCCTATCCTATCCTATCCTAATATTCTTCATGCAAACGCCTCCATGGTAGATGTCCACCATCTGAAGTTCTTCCGTGGTACCCAGTCAAAAAAAGTGCCTTTCAAGACCCTTTTTCACATTTACAACCATCGTGGCATCCACGTGGTCACCTGATCCAAACTGAGACCCTTGGCAATTGGCATGTACTTAGGACGGTTGCCCCGTGATCCTCTTTTGCGACCTGACCAGCACAGTCAATGGGGAAGCCAGATTCACTTAGCAACTGCAGAGATTCGCTTGAAGTGGGGCAAAACTCACTTAATAGCTGTCTCGCTTAGCAGCGGATATTTTGGGCTCAATTGCAGTTGTAAGTGGAGGACTATGTAATCATGTCCCACAAATACTCAAAGTGATAGAAAGGGTCAAGATTTCTTGAGGAGCCCCCAAGTTGTTTTCATGCCAGTCGGTTTGCCTTTGTTTGCAGGCGTGCAAAGATGAGTTATTGCAAATTACTCTCTTGACTCACTGTAAGTGGAAAGTAATGAGTCACTCCCTTGGTTTATCCGACTTTTTTCCAGTATTTTGGGCTTCTCTGAGTCTATTTTTCCATAAAAACGTCATTTTCAGCCTTTCCCTTGTTACAAATGTACAGTACTCTGTGGGTGTGCTTTAATAAAGACATAATGGCCTTTATTAAAAGCTCTTAAATGTATTGGTAGACAGATGCTGCTACAAGAAATTACGTTTATTGTACATACTGTATTATCTTTTCTCAAAATACATGTTTTATATTGATCTTCAAACTACAGGTAGTCCTTACTGTATAGCAGTGTTTCTCAACCTTGACCATTTTAAGGCATGTGGACTTCAACTCCCAGAATTCCACAGCCAGCATTGCTGGCTGTGGAATTCTGGGAGTTGAAGTCCACATGCCTTAAAATGGTCAAGATTGAGAAACACTGCTGTATAGTGAAAGAGAAGGAGAAGGAAGGAGAACTGTGGCATCTCTGGTGCTGTCTGAGCTGGGTTGTTTTCTTGCAGACAGGTAACATCATCAGTGGATGGAGAATGGAGCTAGCTTCTGCCCCGTACTACCTTCTAGCACTGATTATGTTACCTAGCTGGGTCATGAAATGTCTGCAAGAAAACAACCCAGCTCAGACAGCACCAAGGAACCCTCCATTCAAGTTCTCTTTTACTCAAGATTTCCACCTCCGCCTTCAAAAAACTTGCTAAGCCCGCTATGCGTGCTAACTTTCCAGCCAATCGAGGGAGAACATTCTGACATTCTAAAACGCAACAACACCAGGGAGCCTGGCAGATCTCGAGCAGGCAATGTGACAACGATTGATGGAGAGACAGGAGACCAAGCTGGGCGAGTGGGAAGCTTAGGAAATCAAACTGCTGTTGGGAAAAAAAAGAGAGAGAAATTTAAAGTCCTTAAACACTCCCAGAAACAAATTTGTGATGTAAATCTTTCTTCTGAAAGTTAAAAAAGAGAGAGAGAGAGAGAGAGAGAGAGAAAGAGAGAAAGAAAAAACGAACCGTGCATTTGACAAGCTTCTTCCTAAGAGCTTCCGGGCTCTGTCAACAGGCGTGCACGCACACGTACCCCCGTGGGCACACTCGCTTTGCGGACAGCCAAAATTAGTTGTGACAGCTGAAATTCTCCACCCGTTGGACAGCCTTTGACAAGCTATTTTACAAAGAAAAAAAAGAGAGAACGAAATGCACACAGTGGCGTACAAAAGAGAGGTGCCGCTCAGCTTAACGCTGGGGGGTGGGTGGCAGGGCCGTGGGGGGGGGGGTTAAAGTGATACCAGACGCATAATTCAAGCCTTCTTGTGTTGCTAATAATTCAAGCCTTCTTGTGTTGCTAAGGCTCGCCTTACCTAAAGGGACAGCCTGCTCTATTTTTATCTAAATGGCTCAATTACCTCCAAGTCCCACAGAGAAAATTACGATGCAGGGTTTTATCTCTCTCTCTCTCTCTCTCTCTTTTGCTTCTCTCTCCCTCTTCCTCTCCTCTCCGCTGTATGTATTTTGTTTGGTTTCTGATTTTTTGGGAGGGTGGAAAGACTCCTTTTTCCAAGGAGGGGCAGCTTTTAATGGATCCTCCGAACGCGGCGTGTTTTCCAATGTATAACTGCACCCACATCACTTCAAAAGGATGCAGAGACCCCAAGACTCCAGAGTTGTAAGGACAAAAATCTCGAATCGTCCAGGAAAATTCAGCCTGTTTGGGCAGGGGGAACACCAAACACACCCTGACTCCCTTCAGTAACTGGTTTGGTGCTTTTATGCCCCAGCTTTCTTGCAAACCACCCCCCTCATCCATCCATCCTTCCTTCTCTGCCTTTTTCAACCCACTGTAATAGTAGCTTGTTTTGCACTTCACTCTTGTCTCAATGAGAAAATATCCCCTTTTTTCCCACACCTTGCCTTCTTGATTCCAAACCCTGCAATCGGTCTTTTGCAAAGGGCCCCGGGAAGTATCTATTTTTCTGCCTTTTGCCATGTTTTATGTTTGCCATTCTTCCAATTACCCCGCCAGGGGGGCTTTGCTTGGACCAAGACCGGGCCAGGCTATTTACGCCTCTCTTGGTCCTTGAGATCATGCAGGGAGAAATTAGTGATTTATTTGGAGTGCCTGCTGTAGCTTCGCCATCCACCCAAGTGTTTGTTTTGATTAGCAGCAGGGGGAAAGCAAAGGAAACAATGCACCCGAGAGCGGGACCATTAGAGAAAGGCTGAGTCCACTTCAGATGGAGAGAATACGGCGGCATTAAAAGCAACAACAACAACAACAAAAGTTGCTGAGGAAAGAAAGATCTGTACAGGTAGTCCTCGACTTACAACCGCAGCTGAGCTCAAACTCTCCCTTGCTAAGCAAGACATTTAAGAGAGTTTTGCCCCATTTTACCACTGCAGTTGTTAAAGTTAGCAACCCGGTTGTTAAATGACTTTGCTTCTCAGAAGCTTGCAAAAAGGGGATCGTGTGACCTGGGACCCTGCAACCGTCGTAAACGTGAATCAGTTGCCAAGCATCCTAATTTTGATCACGTGACCATGGGGAGAATGCTGCAAGGGTCATAAGTCCCCCTTTTTTTGCAGTGCTGTTATAGCTTCGAACGGTCACTAAATGAGCTCCTTTTTGCTAAGCGCCCGAGTGGACCTTGGCCAGGCCCCTTCAATGCTTCAAGTATCTTGAAGTGTTTTACCTTCCGTCTTGGGCATCGTGTGATGCACGTTTAATTTAACGATGCAAAATAGTGAAAAGATTACAGTTGCTCTGATCCTTTGGCACAGAGGAGTTCATTTTATGTTCGGAGCAATTAAGCTTTCCCTGGGCCAACCTTTGTGGCTTAACTATTATATACAAAGCACAGTTGGGTCCATATTAAAAAAAAAAAAAAAACCACCCATCTGGACTCAGTTCAATCAAAGGCTCTTAAGACCCGCGTCCTTTTCTCTGCCCTAAATGCAGCTCTCCACATTGATGTGGGATTAACCAGCACTGGGTCCCCGTCAACAGGTAGGAAGTGTTGATCCTGAGCTACAATTAACATCTTATCTACAGGATGTAAGCCGTTCTGATTTTGGGAAGATCAATTCTTTTCCATTTGGGAGCTTCTGTTGGGCATGAAATGGCTCTAAAATCTTTCAGAGGCTGTAACCACCACGACATATGATCATAGCAAACCGGACTTCAACCAGCCCAATAAAACTGATTAATCTGGGGGAGATAATGCTTAGAGAGCCAGAAGACTGGCTAGTCTCTCAAATAAAAATATTATACAATAATGTCATTGCTACAATCCAGTGCTTCTATTCGATGGTCTTTAAAGGAAGCAACATGAGTGTATTATATTCAGAAAAGTTTCACTTCTGGGCAATTAAATAATAGTTTTTATTGAGGGTGCTCTAAGGGGCAGAAGGAGTAAGAAAGGGAATGGAGGCTCAGAAGCTAACATTTGAGGTCTATGTTTAGACTAAAGCTAGGTAGATCCTTGAAATTCACATGTTGCCCGCTTGATGCAGGAAAAGAAAGAAAGAACAGCTTTTCTAGACGGTTGCTGTTTTCTCCTAATGGAGTTCTAATGGAGTGGCCATTTCATTGACAATCAAACCAGAAGAGCACCAGGGTTAGAGGGGTCTGACAGATGGGCCTGTCCAGCCCCAAACATAAAATCCTTTGATTCTGCCTTGGGCTGAGTGGGGTTAAATTTTCTTCCTTGGAAACTAGAAGGGACAATCTCTCTGAGAATCAGTGTTAGGGAGGGGAGGGGAGGGGAAGGAAGGAAGGAAGGAAGGAAGGAAGGAAGGAAGGAAGGAAGGAAGGAAGGAAGGAAGGAAGGAAGGAAGGATCCATATGGTCACCAGAGGTCAAAGAAGACTCATGATCCTGAAAATAAAATATATATAAATTCCCCCTATCCCTGAATTAAATATGAGTCTTACCATGAAGCTGCTGTCCTTCTCACCACTGGATCCCCTGGGCAATCCTTACCCATATTTCCCGGCTGAAAGTCGGAATTAAACCCAGATTTTTCAAGTCAACTTTTCTCTTCCTGGGCCTTGGCTGAAACCCAAACC